GTTGTTAATAGAGAGCGTACACTGTGTCATTTTTATGGATTTAGGAGTGTAGTGAATAATTATACACCCTGTGCACGGGAGGGGGTTTGGGACTTTCTGCCTCTATTTCTTCACAAACTTCTCTTCTTCAGTTATCAGACACCCTTAACATTATCGGTTCTGTGCACAGTCTGGGCAGCTGTCCGAACCAGACCGTCACAGGTTGTCCCCCCTTGTCGAATTCTGTCAAGTGAGGAAATCTGTTGTTTTGTGATGATCTGCAGGGACAAAAAAATCCTACAAAACTGTATTTCTGCTTGTTCCACTTCGTCTCAGATAACAGAATTTGCTTAATGTATCACATTTTTGAGAAAGCTGTGCATGTTTGCACTTTTGCAAGAGAGGCAAAAAGTAGAGAAGATCTCAGAGGGGTATTTAGCACAGCCACTGCAGGCCACCGTATGATTGCTTTAGGGCACGATTCTGACCACAGCATGATGTTATTATAGATTAATATGACCGTGAACACAGCTCCCGTTCTGCACGGGGCAATCTCAACATCTCCCAGCAGAAGAGACGTGAAGGTAACCCCCCTGCTCACGGCACAATCACGTCAGCAAAAAATCCCGTTACATAACAGTTTGTCTCCAACTTTAATCATTTGAAGTCAATCTGCGCGCAGCCGAGGCCGCGCACGGCCGCTCTGCGCACATGACCGAGCACAGGCCATATATAGGACCGCACTGGCGGAATGTGCAGGTGTCACAGCTCGCTATTGGATTACTGTGGGAATTCCCTACGTCATTTTCTTTTTATGCATCTCTTTCACAAGACGCATGCATGAACGCAAAATCGATCAGTTACGAGGCGCATGTGGCGGATGGAAGGGCGCAAGGAAGTCGATCATTACCCCGCCGCGCCCTCCCCTTCAGTGCAAAGAAACAAGCCACAACACAGCGCAGAACCCGATACGCATGCATACGGCCGACGCTGCGTTGTTTTAATGACAGATTCAGCTGGTTGTCCATCGGATCAGCGGATATCATCATCGATCACTCACAGGCACAGGACGGTTCCCTCCGCTGCCCGCGCTGGCGGCGCTCAAGCGGTTACCTTTTGGCGCAGAGGTGCGGGGTTGTTTTGGACAGCGCTGCCGCCAAAACACGTGGGCTCGGAGCTCTCGGGCGGGAGTATCCACGCGTTCAGGTCGTTAGCCCTGCAGTCCAAAGTGAGGAGAGACGGGCGGGGTGGCCGCGCTAAAGGCCCCCCCCAACACGGGCCACCCTGCCACCCCCTCGCCCTCTGCAGAGTCGCGAAGCCGGAGGGCAGTAGTTGTTGGCTGCGGAGGTCACGTATCAGACACGGGTGATCCCTGTGTAAGAGCGCTGCGCGCGCTGGCAGGGGACACCGCGGCCCTCCTCTTCGAGGCAGGCGTCCGAGGGTGTTGCGCAGAAACTTGCAGCAGCACCTCCGCGCCGCGCGGACTGGGTCCCCGCGGCATGCTGGTGCCCCGCACGTGTCCCGCGAGCTGTGCCCGCGACAGGATGGTGCTGTGCAGCTCACACAGGCATCGCATCCTTCTCCCTCTCTGCATCGCAATGCGCTGCAGTCAGTGCCGACGTCCTCCCACCAGCCCCGGCAGATGCACACAGTCTGACTGAACCGCTGTCAGTCCGGGGGGAGAGAAGGGGAGAAGGGACGGAGCCTACCGGAGGATGGCGTAATGTTTGCTTATTTGCAGTGGAGAGAGTCTCCTTGTTGGAGGGGGGCGCGGAGGGATTTATTCGGAGGAGTGTAGTGCCTGAGATGTAGTTTTTTGCTGTTGATAACACACACACACACACACACACACACACACACACACACACACACACACAGCGCATATTAATGTGGGAAAACAGAGTGGGCGGTGACTAGAGAGAGAGAGAGAGAGAGAGAGAGAGTCAACCTGTAGAAGCAGAGCCTCCACACATTCACCCAGTGCAGCTTTATACTTCAACATTGGTTCAGTATGTTTCACTGTTAGAGATTTAACAGCTGCTCCATCCCCAACCAAAAAGGGATCAATAATAGAAGAGGGGCTATCATTTATTAAGCTGACGACCTATGTTACATATTTTATGGATATTTCATTTTATATTCAAAACTGTACAATGAACCCAAACAGTGAGGTTTGTGTAAAACGAGTGATATGGATGAATTTTGAGCAGATTGTTTCCTGTTTAGGGAACTTTTCTATACAATTCTCTGTCTGTATTATGCATTTTACTTATATTTAACACTCATAAATACTTAATGGGCTTCTTTTTTGACTAATTCAGTGTTTTCTTGTCTGTTACATTGTTCTATTAGATAATTTACTTTATTTAACATTCACTTTTCCTCACAGATGTGAACCAGCTGCTGAGCTACAGGCCTACTGTGTACATTTTTAAACCTTAAAAAGAAAAGGTCTCAAACCCCCCATGAAGCTTTGGCATCCCCTGGTGGGGGTCCCGACCCCCAGGTTGAGAACAACTGAACTACAACATTAAATATTTCTTATGCATTAATCCAATAATGTAGCCTCATATACATATTAACGTGATATTTACAGTGTTTTCAGGTTGTGTGATTGCTTTTACTCACAATGATCCGGATACATTTCCCCCCTCAGGTAACATGTGACTGATATTTACCTGCAGACACATTGACGAGAGTAGTTTTCAGTTATGGCCTTTCAGTCTTGTGCCAATTGCTCCATATTTAGACTCCGGGGAATCCCATTCAGCATTTCCCACCACCGTGAAGCGGCGCATCTGATTCTGCATAAGCACATTAAAGCGAACATGAGGAAAGTGTACAGATCCATTCATCCAGCCGGGCTGACACACTGCTGACAGGCCGGGGTCGGCAGGGAAACGGTGCCCCCTGGTGGCCGCTCAGCAGCGGTAGGATGATGTTATCTAATCTCAATATAGATTAAATCCTATGAGTTTAATAGTCATACAATCTGTTTAAACTGGCCTCTAGTGACCTCTGAGGGGACAGCCAAACAAAATAACAACAATGATGTCATTCCCTTGTCGGGAGCCCACACATCCTGGAAAACCTGGTCATGGAAACACCTGGAAATTCATTAAAATGACCTGGAAATAATCTGTGTTGTCCTGGAAACTTCTAATTGTATGTTATTCTGTGCGGTGGCCAAATTAATGTCACAGTTAGAGGAAAAGCTGCAGTCAGTAGACCTTTTTCACAGCAGCCGCTTTGACATGAAACAGTAGGGGATGTTGTTGTTAGGGGATGTTGGCTCACTGGAAAGGCTCTGCTGCACTAAATGGAACAGAGCCTTTATTAGTATCATTGATATGTCAGATGTCAAAATGGCTGCTGTGATAAAGGTTTATTCGGAAAGCGGTGAGAACAGCCAAGCATGCTTTGAAAGTGGAAAATGTCCTGGAAAAGGTCCTGGAAAATGATTTCTTAAGCAGAGTGGGAAGCCTGGAAAAACAGGCGGGCTTCCATAGCCTACTAAATGTTCCAGTTTCACCAGTAACTGGTCACTTTTAGCTCTCTCAGAGGACAGTCAGTGCAGTTATCTTGAGCTGCTGTCCTGGAAGCAGCTACCTACAATGTTTTTTTCAGGGATATAACAGCAATCATTTTAAATCATCTGACGCAGTGTTAGTACTTAATGCATCCTGAGAGCCATAATGAAATAACAACAATTACTTCATAAATAATTCATACACCCAAAACAGACTGTTTTTGGTGAGTGTGCCTGAATAAATTCATACTTGTTTAAAAGACTTCACAACCTTTCTGGATGTTCATTCAATAAAACTGCTTAAACAAATCTGTTGTTGTAGACATGATACAAAGCATTGGGCTGTTCTGTAGTCCATCTTTATATTATTAAAGGAGGACAAAATTAACGTTAAAGCACAAAAACAGCTGTGGTAAACACCCTCAGGTTATTGTGCCTAATTAATATTTAATTAAGTGCATCAAACGTTTTGCATTAAAGTTTAAAATAAATTATTATTGACCAATAATTTATCAGCAAAAGGGTCAAACTGCAGCACCCTCAGTCCTCCCTCCTCAGGCCCCTCAGACAGGTATTATCACTCGCTGCTGCTGGGAGGAATTATAGTATTTTCTATCAGAAGTCAATAGCCCAGTCTAAAATATAATAAGTATATTTACATTATATGAAGTTTATGACTGGTGGCTTTAGGCAGAACGGTTGCTTGTAGTGACAGCAAATGTTGAAAACACGAACAGTACATGCAGCCTTCAAGAGGATTTAATTCATTTTAAATACATGCTCATGTGTTTAATATGTAGGCTAAACATTTACATACGTTATCTCATAACGCTCTTATAAAGTGGGATACAAACTGAAAAAAAGTATTATAAGGTCAAATTCCTCCAGACGAATATATATTAAATATTTAATTCAGGAGCTCGGTTTGTGTTTGCCCTCACTGTGAGTAACCAGACACTAATTTGGCCAAAAACCATTACACCGGTAGTGCAGTTGTGCCATTTCCGCACGAAAGTCGGAACAAACTTTTAAATTAGGCCATTTATCTAATATCAGTGAAGATTCAGTAACTGGATTGCTTCTTTCTCACCTCAAATCTGTTCAGAAACAGATTTTGGTGGACTGATGAGGTGAAATAAGTTTCCTCCATATGGAACTGAAGTACTCGTGCTCAAACCCCCACCGGCTCACAGAACAGGGGCCTCAGGAGGGGGGACTGCAGTTGATCCGTTATTGACAGATAATTTATCGGCCCTGATAGATATCGTGCATCCTTACTAATCAGACATCTTCTCTGGACTGTGTACAGTGTTTGATTGACATCCTGATTGGGCGGGACAACTTACACCTTTATCACGACCAACCTTCGAGCTGAGCAGAGGTCTAATGAGCCAGAATAAGTGAAAACATCTGTGTGGGTGCTCGGCCTTCAAAACACGAATTTCACACTCACAACATTTCTAGAATAACAATAATAAAACAACAACCACAGTTATTTTTCTTGGTTTTATTGCAACAACAATGGTGCCAAAAATTGCACATTTTGCCCATTTACAATGACATCAGATAAAAATGTGAGAAATATAAAAACATCAAAGCAATCCATTTTGACACAATAACACTTAAACCTGAGGAGAAAATACTCTTCCACACTAGAGCCTCACCAGAAAATATAAATAAAAGGAAACTATGCCTCAGACAAGGGATTATTTTCTTTCTTTCTTTCCGGTACAATATATTAGCAAAGGTCAGAGGACTAACTAGTTCTGCACAACAAGGACCAGCTAGCAGGAGGTTACAGGTTTTAAAGTCACTCTAGGCAGAAGCAGAATAAAAGAAACTGATAAAAAGGTTACCAGACTTTAAAGCACTTATAGACGTTGTAACATTTAATAAGTTTTACTTCCATATTGCCAGATAGATAGAAAGATCATTCTTTATTAACCTTTTTCATTATTTGGGAAGGAAATTAAAACCAATGTGAGACATTAGTGACGCTCAGGTTGTGGTAATGATGAACAACAGCTTCAGTACTGAATTCTATAGTTTCATAGAGGTTAAAGTCGGTTGTCATAATAAGTCATTTCTGCGAAGGATTTGTCAAACTGTGGTATTGTACTACAATTTACCTCAACGCAAGAAACATCAAACCTGGAACACACTTCCTAAATAAGGAGCAGAAGCTCATTACGCTGCACAAAAAATTGCATCTGTGATTTGGTTTGACTGAATTCTTTTTCAGTAGATTGAAGAGCCCGTTTTTTGTTTTCACGGCTGCTGAAGGTTTCTCGCAGCTGCACAGTGTTTGCCATGTTTGCAGTGATCAATCCGAGTAGAGCGGACGACTGAGTTTTCTTAGCGTGCTTTGATTTGAATGTTACACAGATCGGCACACAAGAAAAGTAAGCTGATAAAATAAATCTCTGTGATGAACTGTGGGTTTATTTATTGGTAGCAGTGGTGTAGTGCAGGGCGTACGCAGGTACACCCGCTTCTAAATCCCCTCTGATGCATTCAGCAGTGTGCTCTGAGCTGAATATTTGATGGCGAAGACAGTTTGATTTACATGAGTGGATATAGTAAGGAATAAGGAATACTTCACTCAAAATGCAGAATTAAGTAGTTGTCTCACCCTGTAGTCTGTGGGCCAGTACTTATTGCAAAATCTGCACCTCTTCTGTGGCTAATGTTCATTTTATAGTGAACATTTCTCCCTGAAGTCAAGCAGCAGAAGTTAACTGATAATGTGCAAATACTACTGGGCCCTTTCAGGGTGAGCTAAACATGCAAGAGTAGTGTTATTTATCACTGGCTTATAACTCACTGTGTTTGTCCTTCCTAAAAAGCATCTGGGGGCATAAATAAAGAACGTACCCACTACACCAACTGCTGACTGGTTGGATGTTTCTGTGTGTTTTTGTGTGAGCGAATGTAAATTTTACTGACATGATGATTGAATAACAAGATCCCAGCTGTGAGCTATCACCGACTGTAAGAGAATCCCCTCGATGACATTCAGGATGCTGCAAAGCTGTCACTTAACACTTAACTGTCCAAGTCGGTTTCAACACGAGTCTAAAACCTTTTGCTTCTGAAATTGTAGAGTGCTGAAATACATCATTTAGCTGTCAGTTTAAGTTTAGACTGAAATTAGATTCAGTGGCCGCTATTCCTAATAACGGTGCTATTTAGTTACGAGTTAGTCGATTTCTTCAAATTAATCAACTTTGTTCAGCTAAATCTTTTCGTAAACTCAGACACATTTTAATCTAGAGAATGTTAAAGTGGAGGAATATTCACTTGTAAAACTCCTATGTGGCCAGATGATAGATGGAGACATTTTTCATTGCTGCACCGCAAGAGAGCAACAGGACCACAGTCTGTTTCACCGGTTTTAAAAATGGCAGTAGTTAAGATGTACAATGTGAGTTATTCCATTTTAGACAAAACACACAAAACATCATGTGAAACCTCATTTTAAATGGTCCAAAACATCATTTCAACCCCACTAAAGTGTGGATTTCCCAGTTTGGAAAGAAAACCCTCACGTGTAAATCTGGAACTACGACATAATCACAGTGAACACCGATATAAATCACATTTATATTTATAGAAAAACTTAACTCTCACCTCCTCCTAATTTGTTCCATAAAGAAGTGTATGCCACCAACTCACGACGAGGCAGACCATGTGCATCTCAAAGCGCTAAAAACGGCACCAGACAGACAAGTGCACGGAAAAGCTGATCACTTACACCACCACTAACTGTATAAAGTCAAACACACAGACATTCAGTGCAGGTACATTCACATTGGGAACAACAGCGGCGTCTTCGTCGAGTATGTCGGCGTATGATTGTATGCTTGCTTTGGAGGGGCGAGAGTGATTGGTCCCTAATGATCTTTAGTTTCCAGTTATTATAAAGTCACTCGAATCTAAACTCAAACTACCGCGTTTTAGGAATATTTTAATAAGTAAACGCATTCACACAGAACCAGTGACGTACACTTACATTCACTGTAGGCCTTTGTCTTTTAGCCGAAGACACTGCTGCTGAGGACTGAATGGTTTTTAAACTGCTATGAAACAGATGAACTGCTCAGAAAGGCACAGCAGCTGCTTTCACTGACATGAGGGGGTGTGAGCAACAGCAGGAGGACGGAAGATAAAGCAATAAGACACAATTTTAATTCAAACCTTGGTATAGCTGTGGGTCAACGTTTACCATCTGTCACTTACCCACATATACGGTAAACCACTAGTCTGTGGTTGGGTTTTAAGTTGAATTTGTTCTGAAATTACATCGATTCATTTACATATGGTTGTGAAACTCTAATGGCTAAAGGGAGTCGGTGTGAGTGCAACAGTTCAACAGCTTAAAGAAAAATGTCATTGGCAACAAAAACTGAAGTCAAAAAGCAACAAAATGTTAGGCCCACATGGCGTAACAACACAGCACGCTCGAACACACCACGCCCAAACACACCACCACACAGCAAACAGTTTCCATCACAACAATCATAATGACCATCTGGTTCCTTCCATTTAAGTCTAAAACCTTCATGATATCAAATATTACATCCTCTTCTTATAACATATGTCATTAAAAGGATAAAGTCTGTACATATTCTATATTTCTCTTTCTGTCAACAGACCAAAACCAACAATCAGTGTCTCCAACAAGTATTGTGTGTGTGTGTGTGTGTGTCATTTCTATCAAACTTTTCTAATACCGTACTTCAAACTGCGTTGATATGTTGACGGAAACACACCCATCGGTGTGCAGAAACTATTAGAAACACATCAATGAGACACACTGTTGCTACTCTAAATACTCACTAGAGCACCAAATGTGTATTAATCCACATGAAATTAGTCCCCAGCTAAAGCTCTATTTCTTCCTGTTTGAGTTACATTTGTTAAAAAACTACAGTGTCCAACTGTTTAAGGAAATTACTGGACCACATATTTGCGAGCAGTTTTTAAAGACTTGCATCTTCAGCAGGAACTAATGTGTCCGAGTTCCACCGACGGGGTCGGGAAGTCAGAAAGTAGCGAGACGAAATAACACATTGTTGGCTTTCGTTGACAGTAAGAAAAACACAGAACTCTAGCTTCGTCTCTTAAGTTGCTCCTAAAAAAGGTTAAAAACTGGAACCATAAGAGATCCAAGTGTTCTTTTATATTAAGAAAAAAAAACATTCAAATGGTCACAAGAGTTTTAGTTTGTAAAAGGACGCATCGAACCGGTCGGCTTTAGATTAAAAAAGGTATTTAAAATGAAACAAAACAAAGTAAGACAAAAGGTGGTGGGCTCCTTGGTCATAAATATTCCCCTGTACATCTTCCGTTAGGGTAACTAACTGTGCTTGAACAGACACCATGAAATACAAGATTATTCTCTTGTTAACTCGATACTGCAGCAGCGCAAAGAAAGTTACAATATAAGGATTATACGTTTCCTGCTAAGAGCTTGAAGTTGCTGTTTGAATGTCCAATCATACTGTATGCATCAGCTGCACAGACGTCCCATAATCTTCCACTGAACAGAAATCCGTGGTTTAGAAGAAGTATATAATTTGCTTTCTTTAAACTTTGATAGCCCCAAGCTTCACTAAACTTCTGAATCCAAATACCAGTGACTACAAGTGATTTTAATCCTATGAACCTACGAAAATTAGCTACGTCTGTAGCTTTAGCTTCTGACTGTCTCCATAACATAAAAAAAGTCAATGAATATTTATGATTTGTCCAATCCCCAGGTGCTAATTTGCCTGTTCAGCATATTTATCTCACAACCACCTCATTAACTTTTGGTGTAATCGTATTTAACCAGTCAACACGCGTGCATTGCTGCCAATTTGGCACATTAAGACAGACTGGAGAGGGCTTTGGACAAGGAGGTTAGTGGATCAAACACTACAGCGGTGCCAGTGATGTACTCGCCTCACTTTGAACTGTTTTAATGTGCCATTGATTTAAAACACTGATTCACAGTGGAGGTCATTCAGATTTTATTATACTGATCAACAGAAAAAACCCTGATCACGTTTAAAGTAAAAACAAATCCAACTTTCTACAAGTTCATTCAGATTTTGAAACCTGAATACGCACAAACACAGCATCTAAAAGGTCCACTGCGATATATAGACGTGATGGGAGGTCAGTCAAATATAATTTTATATTTAGAATTATTTATAAATGTTTGTTTTTACTTTGATATCAAATTGTCTTTTTCTGTTAATCAGCTGAATGACATCCACTGTAATTCAATGCTGTACACAATAAAACACAACAAAGTCAAAGGGAAATGTACATATAATGTACGCATGTATGCTCACGATGGTGGGATAATAGACACCGAAAGGCCTATAAATAATAATAAATCAAAGATATTCCAACCATCAAAACTGAACGCTGCAAACAGCTAACAGACCCTTTAAGTCACGAAGCAGCATAAAGAAAAACCTCCCTGACAGAAGACTGACAGAGTCTCTGAAGCTTAATTAAACTCTCACACCTCCAGACTCCAGAGTGTCTGTGAGGACGCACCAAATCAAAAAGATAATTAGATTAGAGGCAGAAAGCTGCAGCTGATGCCCGCTGCATGTTGGTGTGTGAAAGGTCACTACTTTTCCTGGCTGTTGACTGAATGAGCAGTGGCTTAAAATGTTTCCGTGAGCTCGGCCCTCTTCAAAAACTGCTCATTTTTTATTTGGCAAGTCAACAGCTGGCGAGGAAAATCGCAGATTAACAGTTAAGAGTGTTGCCGATGCTGGGAGGGTTTGATCAGATCATAAGGACCCTCTTACAGCGCTGCTTTTTTAAAATGTTGCTGCTGAACCGTTGCCACACAGCTAGAGCACCACAGGGGACAGACACATGATAAGTTCAGCATAATGTGCATTTCAAAAGCATTAAATCCATCAGTAATAATAGGGCTTCAATTAATGATTATTCACATCATCAGTTAATCTACAGATTATTTTCACCATTCATATATAAATCGTTTAGTTTAAAAAAAATGTAAAAACATAGTGAAAAATGTTTGGATTAGGATCAAAATTTCCCAAAGTGAGGTATTAAAATAGTTTCTTTTGACAAATACACAGTCCAAGACCAGCTTTTCAGTCAAAAATGACGATTAATCGATTATCAAAACAGTTGGCTATTAGTTTTCTTTCGATAAAATAATCCATGAATTGACTAATCGTTCCAGATATACTGTTAAGTTTAAATCAGAAATACAGTTTTAATTCTCTTATAATTTGCTTCTACTTTGCAGAAGTTAAACTTCAGACAGTGAAACTAAACACTTCCTGCACTGGTATTTCACATTAAAAGCTTTCTAGGAAAAATGACACAAGCTTTTAATGTGAAACATCTGTGCAGGAAGCTTTGAGTTTCTCTGACAGTAGTTTCACACAGAACAACAAAGAAAACTGATGAGTGTGAAAAGTATTTCTGTTAAAAAGAGGAAGTAGTGTAATCGTACTGATGGAACCAGGGCTGTGAAAATGCACATCATCCTGAATTTATGGTGAGAAAAGAGGTAAACACGGAGCGTTAACTTGGACTGGTTTTCGATGAGTTTAAGTGGAGACACAAGACTTTTACACATGTACCATTCTGAGATTCCTCGTTGCTTTTCTCTTCGAGTTCTTGGCTCATTTAATTCAAGTAGGAAATTATTTAAACTTTCACTTCTGGCCACTCGACTATTAGACTCTTATTGTGGATTATTGTGGCCTGCTGCTCATTTAACAGTCACTTTTGCCAAAGTGGGTGAATGAAAGAGTGTTTGTCACACGGCTGACGCAGGAAAGAAGACTGAACAAGACACAGATTTACCCCAACATGAATACTGCTCGCAACCTGGCCACACCTGTAAAACTGTTTGGCTACATCACTGTATGTTCAGGAACATGGATTACATCATAATCTTCTTCTTCTGAATAATGTGAGACAGATTAGAACCGGTTCTGTATCAAAAAAGTGAGGATGTAAACATGATTACTTTGTGTTTTTCTTGTGGAATGAATGCATGAAGCTGCCACTGGTTTTGTGGCTGACAGTTAACAGGTAAAAGACAACACACAGTAGTATAAGTCATCGCTAAGCAGTAGGCAGTGTAGGAGTTTACAGCGTAGTGACCACAGTGAACAATGCCACTGTAGACACTAGTAACAACAACATAAAGTAACACATTTTAACAGTAACACCCTGTTGTGAGTAGCTAGTAGCTCTAGTATCAGTAGCTTCACTGGTTGTGGAGTTCTTGCTCCTTGAAGGCAGAGCTATAGATATACAGAGTAAGGCAAACTTGGTTTCGGGGGTCAATCTTTCGGAGCCATATTCGCACCAAATGTTCCAAGGCCATTACATCCTCTCCTTTTAAAACATAGTGTAACTGCCGTGGAGCTTTTGGCGCCAACATTGAGCAGACAGTTCCCCAAGCTATGTATGTCTATGGCTCTGCTCCATGGCAGCTGGAGAGAGAAAGTCTTCCCGGGACCGATCGGTCTCGACCAGCTTCAGCGAGTAAAGCTGTAATTTAGAGAAAGGCTTGTTATGGTAGAGATGTGGGCTGAAACCAGACAGATACCGTCAGAGCAGACAACACGAGGCCAGGGGGACGAGTGCCGCCAACAGGAAGTAGGTGACTCTGTAGAGGTGGAGTGGAGAGAAGGTCACCATGGCGACGGCCAAGGGGAGCGGGAGGAAGGATGTCAGAGGCAGGAGTTTACTGAAAGAGATGAAGGAGAAGGTTGAAGCAGATAATTCATCTGATGGAGAACGTGTGCGTTTGTGGCGACGTGCTCTTACCTGTTGCTGAGTTTTAAAGTGTTGCAGTTGATAAGCAGCATGTACACAATGATTACAGGCACAATGTGTGGCCAACAGGGGTCAGGATCCAACTGGGTGGAATACCTGCAGAGGATCACAACGTAGCTTAAACAAAGACATTTCCTGAGGTTACCTAGTCATGCTGTCACTGCTTAATGAAGTAAAACATTAAAACCTCAAACCAAGAGTTGTACCACAACAACACAACAATCAGACATCACCAAGCCCTTTATCTCTGGCCTCCACAGTGCAGTGTTTGAATAAAAGCATCTCCACCAAAACACCAAATCAGGACTGTGGCCTTTCTGTTTTCATACAATTAGCACTTTTCTTCACAGATACATGGTACTAATTAGCATTCTTAAATAGTGGGTGCTAGTTAGCATACGTTCTAATAAACACAGCCATGCAGGTGCTTGGCCTCACTCATTTCATTACTGTACCTCAGGTTGCGGATCCAGTGGATGAGTGAGGGTGCGATGAGCATGACTGGTAGTGTGAAGAGCGCCGATAAGCAGAGGTGGAGCTGCAAGTCATCCCTCACCTCCTGCAGAGCACACTCAGACAGCAAGGGGGCGCCATTACATTCTTTAGACTTGGTGAAGGATTCAGGGTCAGCTGTGCCGTTCTCAGCCTCTTTGTGCTTCCGGGGTGCCTGGAAAGATGAGTATAATTACTAGTAGAAGTTGACAAGAATCTAATTGTAATACGGTAAAAGGTTCTGCATTCAAACACAATACCATCATGCCAACCATCTGATGCTGGTGGCGGAAATCTTACCAGATTCAACATGTGACTCAAAGATCTTTCTGTCATCTGTAGCCTCAGTACCTGAATATAAAATGGCAAAAAAACAAAAACAAAAACACAGACATGTGTAATGTAAGGGGATAAACAGATCAATATCGTATTTATCCTGGTTTAACTAGTAATGCTACTATGTAAAATGACTGGAAGCAGCTTCATTTGTATTAACATGTCCCAGAACTCACTCTGTAAAGGTGGAGCAGGAAGGCGGTAACGATTGACAGCGCCCCACAGGACGTCCCGCCCAGAACAGTCAGACACAGAATGATGAGGAGTTGCGTCTGCGGTCGCAGGGTGCCGCAGTCTCTAGAGACAGATGGCCTGCATGCAAAACAGAAAACAGTCAGAAAATGGTATTTCAATGAGGCTTACAGTTAAGTAATACTGAATGACACATTTAAGTTCCAGTCACAGTTTAAAATCACATACTCTGATGTTTAAATGTCCAGCCATACCTGTGTAGTGGAGCTAATATTAGCGAGACCAGCCGCATAATGAGACGGAGGAGTGTGCTGCCCCAGTATGCAACAGCTGCCCCGAAGACGTAAAACAGAGGGGACAGGAGGAGGGGCCATTCTTCAACTGGTGTCACGCCCTCACGAAATGTGGAATCAGGCATGGATGAGGGGAGGGCATCCATAAGTGGGAGACAGAGAACGGACCAGACCTCTTGGAACGAGCTACAGCTGAGGAGAGGAAGGAAAAAGAGGATTAGTAAGAAAATAAGTCATGTCGGGGTTTGACTGTGAGATGTAATTAAAAGCTCTAAAAAGTCTAGTAAGTGGACCTTGAGTTCGGATGCCTACCTAAGCAAGATGTGCAGAATATAAACAGGAAGGTTGACTTTGTGAGGCTGCAGGCCTTTGCCCACCACCTGGCTCATGTCTGCAGCTCGCCCCGACTTCAGGATGGTGGACAGTTGCCCCCCACAGGCCAGGAGGAGGGTTACAGCTGTGTACACGGGCACCATGGGACCGCAGAACCTCAGTATCTGTCAGGTAAGAGAGAGCAGATCAGACCTGAGGGCTTTCTCCTGTTTGAGCCACTGCATACAATACATGTATGAAGATATTCAGGACTGTTTTCATTTAAAAAACAAAAACAAAAACAAAAAGGCATTTAATATTCTTAATATTTTTTCTGACGTCACTACAAGCTTTTAAAAATGGGTTTTGCCCAAAAACACAAGAAGAAAGTTGTACCTGTCCCAGCACCCTGGGTAATGAAGTCCTTACTGACACCTGGGGTCAAAATCAGAAGAAATCAGAACACATAATTTATTTCTTGACACATTTAACTTCCGTATTGATGATTAAAATAACTAACATCAGGATGTACAGGAAGTCAAAGGCTCTAGTTCTTTCCAACAGTGGAGGAGTAGTACCTTATATTGGCAGTTGGGGGCAGTGTGGAGCTGAAGAAGGACACCTGAGGTGTTGTCTGGACGACTTGTGTGGAGCATCCCTGAGATCTCAGTCACTGATGGCACACTGGCAGACAGATGACACAAACAGTGAATATGACATGTAAATCTGACAGAAAAAGAAAGAAACACCTCAGAGACAGACACTGACACAACTCACCTGACTGTGGTTAAAGAGTCCTCTCGAAACCACGGCACATCTATTCTGTACACATTGGGAAGTCTATCTGCAGACAAAAAAATGATCATTATTACATTATTTAACATAGGCACATGTGCTTTCCTGTGTATCACAAGACCAACTTACCTTTATGTACTTTACACTGGCTTGCAACATTAATTCTGAAAGCTTGATACACCTAAAGACACAGAGGTGTTAAAAATTTAGTGACACAGCAGGAACAGAGAGTCTAACAAGCACCTGATGAAGTAATAAAAGCTACCTGGTGAAAGTGCTGCAGCTTGATGGTGTGGAGAAGTCCAGAGGAGTTGACCGTAACATCGCTGACACTCAAACCTGGAAAACCAAAAGTTACTGAAAAGTTCTCCTGCAGGATTTTAGAGAATCAGCATTAACAGTAAAAAAAGTAAAAACTCACCGAAGGACAGGACATGCGGCACCGGGACAGACAGAGTCTGAGATTCTTGTCTCTGCCACTCACACTCCACCGTGAACTGTGGACCAGACAAACTTTATATTTAATAAATATTTATAATAGTTATTCTACAAGCAGCTCTTTTTAAAGTTGCTGAATTCTGATTCCATCAGTTGCTTTGACACAAAATGTTGCACAAGCGTTCATGGTTTCCATATGATGTATCCTAACTACTTTTCCTCTAGTTTAGTGGTTCTCCCACTCTCTCTGAAGAGGTACAGCAGTTTAAATTTCCAGTTTGATATGATTTTTTAATATACATCCTTACCAGCACGTAGCTGAATCAACTGCTGTAACATTTGTTTCTTACAATAGAACATTTGAGACTTTATACATATAAATATTTTCCATATTTTTGTTTTGAGTTTTGTTTTGACTATGTTGCAGTTTACACAATAAAAAGTGTTTACATTCTGCACACACAGGACGGCATTAAAATGTTCTCTGTACTCCTGACAGCAGATTAAGTCACTATAAACCTATATAAAATAATTTATATACCAAGAAACCCGCCACAAAATTTTACAAATACGCAGACACAATTTTTGGTCATACCGCCCAGCACTCGACGCCCTTAGCTGTACTTTGCTAAAAAGAGATGCTAACACACTTAACTACGATAGTGAAGTGAGATGGTAAATAGTAGACATTACCTGCTAAACATCAGCATGCAGAGTTAGTAGAGAGAGAAAGACGGAAGGAGGAGGAAAGAAGCATCTCATCACCAGAGAGTAGTGAGTTGTCATTTTGTTTCAGGTACCTGTTTGCCGTTGAGGTTAGAGGCCGAAACAACCACATGAGTAACTGAAGTCAAGTCACTGAGACTCAGAATCAGGACCTGAGGAGGATAACAGACAGTTAGAAGCAACCAGCAGCAGCTCAGACTGGACTGGACGGTCTCTCAGAAGAGGAAAATTACCTTGTATGGTGGCAGAAGCTCAGTTCCCATGGAGAGATCCACTGCATGCACACTGGGAGGTTCAAAGAGCATGAATGAAGAGTAACAGAAAGACATAGAAGTTGGCAGGTGGTGGAGGTATAAGAGTTATAATCATATTCTTACCATGAAGAACCGTTCTTGTGCACGCAGCCGTACACCCAGCTAGTCATCTCCTATTGAACAACAACAATAAATCAGAATCACCTTTTTCTGCTCTCTTTTGAACTAATAAAAAGGACAGATTACTGTTTTTGCTTTAATAAACTGGCAGCTTTTGCACTTAAATCTCAAAGACTGAGCTGCCATTTCATTCAAAGATGTGGGTGGCGATTCAGACGTCTGACACCAGGCTAGTGAAACAGGTCGTAGCTCAAATCCACAAGGGATGACAACATCAACACAACAGTGCTGGAAACTCACCAGGTTGTTGCTCCGGCAGTAGAAATGGCTGTAAGCTTTCCTGCGACTCGACAGGGCGAACAGGAAGTATTTGACCTGTCCTTCCTGTAGACAGAGAGCAACACTGAAGGCAACTGGAACATTGTCTGTATCAGGGCTTTGTTTTCCTGGATCATTAGTCAAATAACTAGTCTGGACATGAGTAGTTTGTTTATTATATTAGTACAGTCTGGTACCTTTGGTGTGCTGTACGCCAGACGCAGTGTGTTAACTTCACTCCATGCTTCAGGAAGATCTGGAGAACAAAAAGAAAAACAAGACACTGATTCAGTGATTCTTTTATATTATCACTCAATCAAGACTTCAGTCATTCACTTTGATTTATAGAGTTAATGAAAATAATATGAAGCACGTGTAAACAAATGGCTCAGTGACAGTCTAAATGTACATGGAAAGGATGGTGCTCGAAAGAGAAGACTAATGAAGCCTATCTCCTCTGTTTATTCCAGCCTCTGCATGATAAAGTGTTTCTCTCCTACCTAAGATGGAGATGGAGGTGTCTTGAGTATCTCCCAACATCCTGACAGGGTGTCTGATGAAGTGATGGTTTAGTACAGACATTTTCTTCTCTGGGTTGTCTGTGAACTAATGAGAACATACTGGTTAGCTTGGAAACAGGTGACATGTGCTTGCAATGAAAGCT